GTGATGCAGCATCAAGCAGTAATGACTCACATTTGATGTTTAACTGAAAGGTTGGTGATGCAGCATCAAGCAGTAATGACTCACATTTGATGTTTAACTGAAAGGTTGGTGATGCAGCATCAAGCAGTAATGACTCACTTAGGAGATTAACTGAAAAGTTGGTGATGCAGCATCAAGCAGTAATGACTCACATAGGACATTAACTGAACGGTTTGTGATGCAGCATCAAGCAGTAATGACTCACATAGGATGTTTGACTGAAAGGTTGGTGATGCAGCATCAAGCAGTAATGACTCACATTTGATGTTTAACTGAAAGGTTGGTGATGCAGCATCAAGCAGTAATGACTCACATTTGATGTTTAACTGAAAGGTTGGTGATGCAGCATCAAGCAGTAATGACTCACATTGGATGTTTAACTGAAAGGCTTGTGATGCAGCATCAAGCAGTTATGACTCACATTGGACGTTTAACTGAAAGGCTTGTGATGCAGCATCAAGCAGTAATGACTCACATTGGACGTTTAACTGAAAGGCTTGTGATGCAGCATCAAGCAGTTATGACTCACATTGGACGTTTAACTGAAAGGTTGGTGATGCAGCATCAAGCAGTAATGACTCACATTGGATGTTTACCTGAAAGGCTTGTGATGCAGCATCAAGCAGTTATGACTCACATTGGATGTTTACCTGAAAGGCTTGTGATGCAGCATCAAGCAGTAATGACTCACATAGGATGTTTACCTGAAAGACTTGTGATGCAGCATCAAGCAGTAATGACTCACATAGGATGTTTACCTGAAAGGCTTGTGATGCAGCATCAAGCAGTAATGACTCTCATAGGATGTTTACCTGAAAGACTTGTGATGCAGCATCAAGCAGTAATGACTCACATTGGACGTTTAACTGAAAGGCTTGTGATGCAGCATCAAGCAGTAATGACTCACATTTGATGTTAAACTGAAAGGTTGGTGATGCAGCATCAAGCAGTAATGACTCACATTTGATGTTTAACTGAAAGGCTTGTGATGCAGCATCAAGCAGTAATGACTCACATTTGATGTTTAACTGAAAGGTTGGTGATGCAGCATCAAGCAGTAATGACTCACATTTGATGTTTAACTGAAAGGTTGGTGATGCAGCATCAAGCAGTAATGACTCACTTAGGAGATTAACTGAAAAGTTGGTGATGCAGCATCAAGCAGTAATGACTCACATAGGACATTAACTGAACGGTTTGTGATGCAGCATCAAGCAGTAATGACTCACATAGGATGTTTGACTGAAAGGTTGGTGATGCAGCATCAAGCAGTAATGACTCACATTTGATGTTTAACTGAAAGGTTGGTGATGCAGCATCAAGCAGTAATGACTCACATTTGATGTTTAACTGAAAGGTTGGTGATGCAGCATCAAGCAGTAATGGCTCACATTGGATGTTTAACTGAAAGGTTGGTGATGCAGCATCAAGCAGTAATGACTCACATTAGATGTTTAACTGAAAGGTTGGTGATGCAGCATCAAGCAGTAATGACTCACATTTGATGTTTAACTGAAAGGTTGGTGATGCAGCATCAAGCAGTAATGACTCACATAGGACATTTACTGAAAAGTTGGTGATGCAGCATCAAGCAGTAATGACTCACATAGGACATTAACTGAAAGGTTGGTGATGCAGCATCAAGCAGTAATGACTCACATAGGATGTTTGACTGAAAGGTTGGTGATGCAGCATCAAGCCGTAATGACTCACATAGGATGTTTAACTGAAAGGTTGGTGATGCAGCATCAAGCAGTAATGACTCACATTTGATGTTTAACTGACGTTGGTGATGCAGCATCAAGCAGTAATGACTCACATAGGACATTAACTGAAAGGTTGGTGATGCAGCATCAAGCAGTAATGACTCACATAGGACATTAACTGAAAGGTTGGTGATGCAGCATCAAGCCGTAATGACTCACATTGGACGTTTACCTGAAAGGTTGGTAATGCAGCATCAAGCAGTAATGACTCACATAGGATGTTTAACTGAAAGGCTTGTGATGCAGCATCAAGCAGTTATGACTCACATTGGACGTTTAACTGAAAGGCTTGTGATGCAGCATCAAGCAGTAATGACTCACATTGGACGTTTAACTGAAAGGCTTGTGATGCAGCATCAAGCAGTAATGACTCACATTGGATGTTTACCTGAAAGGCTTGTGATGCAGCATCAAGCAGTAATGACTCACATTGGATGTTTACCTGAAAGGTTGGTGATGCAGCATCATGCAGTACTGACTCACATAGGATGTTAACTGAAAGGTTGGTGATGCAGCATCAAGCAGTAATGACTCACATTGGACGTTTAACTGAAAGGCTTGTGATGCAGCATCAAGCAGTAATGACTCACATTGGATGTTTACCTGAAAGCCTTGTGATGCAGCATCAAGCAGTAATGACTCACATTGGATGTTTACCTGAAAGGTTGGTGATGCAGCATCATGCAGTAATGACTCACATAGGACATTAACTGAAAGGTTGGTGATGCAGCATCAAGCAGTAATGACTCACATAGGATGTTAACTGAAAGGTTGGTGATGCAGCATCATGCAGTAATGACTCACTCAGATAATTTTTGCCATTAATATAATCACGTGACTAACCACAGGTCCGGGTAGTCCTGTGGGTACCCGGGTCCTACTCAGTACCCACCCGACCAGGGTACCCGAGTTACCCGTCCCAGCCCTATATCCAATGTTTCCTTTTCAACTTCATACCCATATTTCTTTACAGATTTTTCTTTACTGATTGAATGCATATCTGAACTCTAGTCTACTGCTGTGAATGCATGTAATGCATAAACAAGGCGTAACTTCTGTTTTATCCTTGTTGTGAATTTAGCAGCAAATGAATAGATTCAAATAAGAAGTCACCTGAAACAGCATTTAAGTAGAATTATTAAAAACAAATGTCTACTCATTGATGTAAAGCAATCCAATAAACTGTACATAAGGGATTAAAAATATATTGAATACCCAAAGAAAACTATCAATACCCAATGTAACTTGTGAGTAATTTCTCAGTACCTCAAAAACTTAGCTGAATCCCTGGAGCCACAAAATATGGCGGGGAATATAGGAATGGAGCTCGTTCGTCCATCCATCCGCGCTTCTCAATGGGGACAAAGTTTCGCAAAAACTATTTGAGCAGAGAAATGAAATTTTACACCCTGATGTTACTGGCCATAATCTTAACTTACTACTTCAGCAGCTCATGCTTGCCGTAACACGCGACTATGCTTGCCGTAACACGCGACTATGCTTGCCGTAACACGCGACTATGCTTGCCGTAACACGCGACTATGCTTGTCGTAACACGCGACTATGCTTGCCGTAACACGCGACTATGCTTGCCGTAACACGCGACTATGCTTGCCGTAACACGCGACTATGCTTGTCGTAACACGCGACTATGCTTGCCGTAACACGCGACTATGCTTGTTGTAACACGCGACTATGCTTGTCGTAACACGCGACTATGCTTGCCGTAACACGCGACTATGCTTGTCGTAACACGCGACTATGCTTGCCGTAACACGCGACTATGCTTGTCGTAACACGCGACTATGCTTGTCGTAACACGCGACTATGCTTGCCGTAACACGCGACTATGCTTGCCGTAACACGCGACTATGCTTGTCGTAACACGCGACTATGCTTGTCGTAACACGCGACTATGCTTGCCGTAACACGCGACTATGCTTGTCGTAACACGCGACTATGCTTGTCGTAAGAGGCAACTAACGGGATCGGGTGGTTAGTCTTGGTTTATGCATGTCATCGTATGCCAATTGCGTAGATCGGTGCTCATTATGTCAATCACTGGATTATGTACAGACCACCGTCATATAGCTGGACAACAAACAAACAAACAAATCTTAACTTAGTTCGAAAATTGGTGTTGTAAATTCATTTTTTATGGAGTTATTGCCCTTGCTCCATGCTTTTTAATGTAATGCATACAGTGTGAAATAGGGACAAATTTTCTCAGAAACTACGAAAGATACATGAATAAAAGTTTTCATGCTTATCAAAAAAATACTTGTCAAGTCTGAGTTTGAAAACTGGTGCCGGTATATATTATCATCACATCGGTAGCAGCAAACTAGTGGTTGAGAACGTCAGTAATGCTCCATGCTGTCGGAACACAGTGACAGACAATAATTAGTTGTCTGCGATGACACACTTGAGGTACTGGAGACATATTAGACCCAGAATCCACACAAGGATCATACATGCTAGACAACCAAACAAACTGTTGAGAACATGCTGATCAAAGTCACCTGATCATCGATGCTCTGATGTTGTATACCGTATTCGAGGTAATAAGCGCCCCGCTCTAATAAGCGCCCACTGCGATATTTGCTAAAATATTGGCTCGTGAACAATCCCAATTAGCTCCCTTTCCGATTGATCAATGTACACAAGACTTATTTATTCGCGTGTAATACGCACTCGTGTGTTATATGCACCCTTAATTAGGGGCAATTAAGTTCTGGAAAAATATATCTCTCGTACCGGTATATAAACATTTCAGGCTGCCAGCATAAACCACGAAATTTATCTTTCAACTCTGTTTTTTTTCGACAAAAAAATGTTCTAATAAGAGCCCCCTATTTCTAATTTTGAGAGCGCCCTGGGCGCTTATTACATCGAATACGGTATATGTAACTAAATAATATTGTGAATCGTCCAATCACTCATTGTGGTGGTCGGGTAGCCTACTGGTTAGAGCATTCACTCGTCACGCCGAAAGCCCTGGTTTGAGTCCCGACTTAGTGTGTGTGAAGCCCATTTCTGGTGTCCCCCGCCATGATATTGCTTGAATATTGCTAAAAGTGGCGTAAAACCAAACTCATTCACTCACTCACCCCAATGACTCATCTGTTTTGGTTTTGAGAAATTATAGGTTAAGATAACTTTCCAAGTCACTAGGTCTATTTTTGTTGCTTGCAGGTTTGGGACTGATACCAAGCCAGGCTATATCGGGGGCAGATATCCAGGCTATATCGGGGGCAGATATCCAAGCTGACTTTGGGAAAATATATGGAAGTGCATTTACTAAGAATTTTGACGAATTCCTTTCCTTGCCACTTGGTGACAGTACTTCATTGAAAAGACTTTGGCAGTGTGAACATTGCGGGAAAACCTTCACAAATTCCAATAACAAAAGGTTTCACGTTGAGGCAGTGCATGGAACTAAAACTTACACTTGTGTTTGTGGGAAGCAGTATAAATATCCATGTAACTTGATCAGACACAGGAATGACTGCGCTTTTGCCAAACAAGCTGCAAGTCAATCTGACAATGTACAACACTAGTGATGATTCGACAGGTAATTGATTGTGAGAATGATATTTCATGGTTGTCCACAGAAGAACCATCTTCCCCAAGCTCCTTCCCAGCACGTGACACCTTCGTTACACTCTCGGTAACATCGCTGCCACCAGTGTGGGTGCGGCCATTACAAGAATCTTGAAATTTGCCCTCTAACCCCAAATGTAGTCACGTTTATACTTTTGTTTATGTCTTTGGGAATGCCATCATATTTCAATTTGAAAAGGTTTACGACTGACCATGTTTTCCAGATGAATTTACTTTGTTGTTTTGATAATCAGATTGGTTCGAGATTGCAGACAAACGGAAAACCAACCAACTTCTCCCTTACATTCTTACTATATCAATAACACGATAGTTTTAATGAAACAGAAATTCAAATTGACAAACGAAGAAAGTAATTTAGCAGCTATAAGTGTATTCGGCGTCACGACAGTCGTCACTTGTTTGTAATCATAACGGTCATTCGGTTGCGAGTTCAACTCCAAGCATGGTTGTGGCCACCTATTCACAGTGGGGAGTTTTGACTGGTGGCAGCGATAGTATAGAGAGCTCCGGGAACGTACTATCGCTGTGAGGAGCTTGCATCTTCCCGAGGCAAGGGAGTTAACTGACTATAAAAGTCCAACCCTTGCCGAACTAGGCTGAAATTCCGGAGTTAAATATTGGCTGTACTATCGAATCTATGCATAGTCCAATCAAAATCATTAACAAATTAGACATTCCTTTCGTAAACAACTTAAATTTTAACGTGAAGATTTCTGTCGAAACATGTGTACCGCCAACTGTGTGTCGACAGATATTACAAATCTTTTCATGGTTTTTAATCAAGTTGCTCAAGTGATTTGATGCACTTCGCAAGGTAAGGCCTGTTTTATTATATTACAGATCTTGACTATTGATCAGATGGTCTTGACTTGGCGTCACCGTTTTGTTTGAAGCAATTGCAAGTGATAGAATAGGTGAAATCTGATTGGTCAGTTGGAGGGACTTAGAAGGGACATAACTCGTAATAGCCACTGGTGGATCTATGATCGAGCCCAGAAATTCTAATGTTGACAGTCTATATTGGCAAGACAGTCTACAGTTTGCCAGGGTTAGACAGTCTATATTGGCAAGACCTAGAATAGGTCTTCAGCAACCCATGCTTGCTGTAAAAGGTGACTTTGCTTGTCGTAAGAGGTGACTAACGGGTCAATCCCAATTGCGTTGATCGATGCTCATGATATTAATCACTGGATTGTCTGGTCCATACTCGATTATTTACAGACCGCCCTCATATAGCTGGAATATTGCTGAGTGCAGCGTTAAACAACAAACCAACCAACCTCCTTAAGGTTGTCTATAAGTGCCCTGATGCAATAAATAGCCTAAGGGTAATCAAGTATGTTTTGTTGATAAATTCCTGAAAACAACGGAGATGCTGATTGGCTTATTAATGAGAATACTTACAGTCGTATGCAATATCATAGTCATTGTCTATAAGTGCCCTGAGGCAATAAATATCCTAAGGGTAATCAAGTATATTTTGTTGATAAATTCCTGAAAACATCGGAGATGCTGATTGGCTTATTAATGAGAATACTTACAGTCGTATGCAATATCATAGTCATGTACCACAGACAGTAATATGTATCTGAAAAAGAATTTGAGCCTAATGGTGTCCGTCTTGTTCTGATGGCAACCGTATCCGATGAGATAAGAAGTTCACAGACAACATATGAAAAATCATTGTTCTAATAGCGTCTTGCTTGGTTTGGTTGGCTTTATATGACCACCGTTGTATCGTTTTGGAGATTGGGGAAGTTTTCTGACATATTGACTCATCATATGTGTGCTAGCATGCATGCGTGTGCGTGCGTGTGCGTGTGCATGTGTTTGTAGTCTGGACTAATGCCGGTTTTATTCTGATAGCCCACTGAGACACCACAATGCAGTTTAACATGAATGCCCCACTCACTGAATTAAAGTGTATACTGACTCTGAGCCGACCAGTCTTTTCTTTTATCATATAATGGGTAGGTTTCTCGGCACGAGGCCTAGCCAAGTGGGATCAGAAGCCATATCTATGCTTGTAGACCTCTGCGGCTTGAAACCTTCTCCACAAATTAAAATAGTTGGATTTGGCCGAAATATGTTTGAATTGTTACCTTGTTTCATTTTCTTTCTTTGTGTACATCTGACTGCACTTCTTATCGTTATGACAGGACAGACCGACTGTCAACAACGTCTGACTGTGGCCGTGACGTCTCATAGACTAGGGTTAGAGTAGCTTCCCTTTGACAAAGGGCAGTTACTCTAGCGGACAGACAGATGGATTGCCGCGAAAGGCAATTAAAAACAATTGTTGTTTTGCGTTTATGTTGCTCAGCCACTGTATAAGAAATAGATTTCAGTTGGAACTATATTGGCTACTGTCACTGTCCGACTGACACATCACTTACCCTGTGACGAAATAAATATTAATGCGTGCATTCCAGGAAAACTCGGAATGTTTCCGTAATGTTTGTGAAAGAGTGAAAGCGCTTTTGAAGTACAGATTTTAAGAATGACATCATATGATAAAGAGGTTATCACGCTTGTGTGTTTGGGGATGGTAAATATCCTGTATTAGGAATAAACACTATGTATTTAGCTCGCCAAGGCTCGCTAAATACAATGTTTATTCCTAATGCAGGATATTTACCATCCCCAAACACACTCGCGTGATAACCTCTATTTATCAACTTCATGCCAAGAGTCAGGCAGGGTAACAACAACTACCATCTTTTAACGTCTTGTGGTATGAAACCGCAGGGATTTGACCCACCCGGGCAGTCCACTAGATTATGGAGGGTGTGAGTCAGAAACAAGTGTGTTGCTGTGCAGATCCTGGGAGGGTGTGGGTACCATGGAGCAGTGTGCAACTGAATGAAGTTGGTTTGGTAAAAGCAAATAGATGTTGGGTCCCAAATGTTTAGTGTGGAGACGATATTTGAGTACCTTATTTTCTTGAGTATAATGCGCACTTTATTCCCCAAAAACACAGCTGTGTAGAAGGGGGTGCGCATTATACATGAAAATCCTGTAAAGTTATATCATTGGGTGTGTCTTGACCGAATCACCGGTAGATTCCAAGAAAATGTGTGTACAGCTGATTGCTATTTCCGGCTTAGGTTCTGAGAAAATACACAGGGTAATCTTAATCCCTGGATGTAAAACAATGCCTAGCAGAACAAAAAATACAATTTAAACGGTAAATCAACCTGTCTGGTGATTTTTTATCTCAAATTTCGAATTTGTACTGACCAAGTATCTCATCACCCGTTCGTTTACCGGACTTCGCTGAAGGGGTACGGTGTAATTTTTTTCTGCGCTTGATACTCTTCTTCTTTTTTTTTCAAAAATCTGAATCTGCAAGAGTGGGATGCAGATTATACATGGGTGTGCACTATACTCAAGAAAATACGGTACTAGAAAATACCAAAAATGTAGGCCATAGAAAATAAATGTTACTCCGATCTTGCAACTTTAAACCAACATACGGTTATTGTTCTTTCAGATTTGGGGACTTGTGTGATGAATCCAAATCAAGAACTACCCAGCCATTCTAATCCAGGCCCCCGATCTAGAGTAGTTGACATATTGCTTAGAGGGGACATATCACATGATGCTTTGCGTGAGCCAGACATCTTCAATGAGTTGGCTTACAGGAAGCGTGTGTGGCAGTGTGAGGAGTGTGGGAAGTGTTTTACTAATGGCAGCAATAGGAAGGGTCACATGGAGGCTGTCCATGGTATTGGTGATGTGAAGATGTACACCTGTGTGTGTGGCAATGCTTACAAATACCCGCGAGGACTCTGCAGACATAAGAGAACCTGTGCAGTTGTTATGCAGATGCGTTCACAGCAGGGGCATTGAGCAAAGCTGAGGTGGAACATAGCACAGAGAACAGGCGTATGTTGGTAGGCATCGTGATTACTTTTTCATTTGACGGATTAAAAAAGAATTTGCTCTTCATCTTCAGTCATTATGATATTGGTGAAAGTGAAAGGGTATTTCAATCATGGAACTATGACGAGACACAAACAATGGGCTTTCATATGGTACTAGGATTTGAAGCTAAGGTTTGGACTTTTCATTTGGCTGCCTTATAGCCCAAAGACGGTGTGTTTTAAGATAATTATTTGCATGTTATAACACAAAGGGCAAAGTATTGCATTGGGTATGGGGATAATTCTAGCATGCCAGGTGTAAACCAACTGCAACCTGTTTACCATCATTTCTAAGTGAACAGAAATTGTGCACACATTTAAAGGGAGATCACTCTTGAGAGACAAAATGGGTCCTAATGGAGCACATGCACTATCATTTGGAAAGTCTAAAGATACAGTTTCTTTGGCAGTCTGAAAGTTTCTGACGTTGGTAAAAATAACCGAATCGTCTTCATGACCTGCTCATACTTGAAATTGTGTGCCCACGTAGTTAAATTTACATAAATACACAAAACAGATACTTTAAACAATCCATTGACACCTCAGTCACATGGCCTCCAGGAGTCGGATACAAACTTCATGGCGGAATACTTTTTTCTTAGCACAAGGACAGTCTTGACCATATGTAGGCAACAATAACCTCACATGACTGGATGTAAGTTCTCCTGCGTTCAACACCGAATCACATACCTTGCTGCAGAATGCTTGAAGAAGGCTTTGTTGAAGACATAACCAGAGTTAAGCCACGTTTTCAAGACATATCAATATTTCTCTGAAATGGGTAGCTGAACAATTTTATTTGTTTTCACAATTTTTTTGTCAGGACTTCCATCATGTCCAGCAAACAATTATATATTTATTGGGAAAACCAGAGGCAAACAATGTATTCCCAGTATGTTCGGATTGCCTGATCCGATTGAGATTGAAGGTCATCATGGAATTTACATATGGAGAATCTCACCCGAGTGTCTTGATATAAAATATATCAACACGAGTTGATAAAAGTGGAAAAACTCCAAGACACGAGGGTGAGATTTTATTTATCATCCAACATCATTCTTCCAAGTTTTTTAGTTTGAAGACAGTAATAAGCATCATCTTAAGTGTCGTAAGTGTAAAAGGTACTGCTAACAGCTTCAGTAGCAGAGCCATTAGTGATGTCATTTGATTGTGACGTCATGGTAACCAATGTAGATATCGCTTGATCTCTCCTGTGGGAGCAATTTTTGGATGGTAAATCGCAATATGCATATTTACGTCAAATCACATGGAAACTTCTTGACTATAAATATTTCAGAGCTGGTTCAAAAGTTAAAGACAGCTATGGATGTATGTTCGTAGTGGCTATGTTTAGCGGTGAACCTGAAACACTAATTACAACACATTTTGAATCATTTTACTGAACAAAATGCTGGGGCTCATTAAAAGGGTAGTACGTAATTGTTTTTAGCAACTGTATCGTCTTGTATCGATACAGAAAAAAGCATATCATGTCCCATGAAAAATCACGATGCACCGGTGCACTGATGTATCTTTGCACTCTTTGTGTAAAAGATTCAATCTCATTAAAATCAGATCTTAGTTCTCGCTACTGCTAAACAAAGATCTGAGGACATCCCATTACGGGTCACGTCAGCACAACCTTTCATCCAACCAATCGGAGCATCGCTTACCAGATCCTGAAAGTGACTGTCGGAATGTGTTGTCTAATCATGCAACCTCGAAATATTTAACACGGGGTATTCCGAACGACAGTTAAGGGTTTTATGATTATATCCATACAATCTAGGCCATCTATAAGCCATTCCAGAATGGTGTTTTGGTCAGTTTTAATTTTTTTAATCGAGAATACGTCAAACTATGTTTCCAAACGTAGTCACCAGTTTCAAACTAGTGCCGTAAAGCTCGAGATAGCTGCCTTCTGATTGGCTAATGTCGATTTCATGTCAGTCATTTGGTTGGTCGGTCAATGTTCACGAAAGGTCGTTCTGACGTGACCCGTAATGGGATATCCTCAGATCTTTGGTTAGCGGTAGCGAAAACTAAGATCTGATTTTAATGAGATTGTAAAAGATTCAATCACTCACTAAATCTGACACCCCAAGTGATGACAGTAGGTACATCTGTCTGTTGAACTGTTCAAAGCATGGCTACCTTTTGTTGTTTTCAGGTTTTGGAACGGAATTGAATCAAGGGTTCGGCAACCATTCTTACCATGACACGTACAGAGACGATTCTAGAGGTGTATTGTCTTCACAGCAGATCCTTCCTTTTTTCAACAAAACGATGCAGATATTTTCGGATGATTTCGCCGACTCCAACAGGAAAGGACTGTATGTGTGTGAGCACTGTGGCAAGAGCTTCACAAGACCTCAGAACAAACAAATCCACGTGGAAAGTGTTCATGGCAACACGACATATTCCTGTGTCTGTGGTAAAGTCTACCGACACCCCAGGGCCTTACAGAGACACAAGAAATCATGCTCATCCTGTCTGTCATGACATGGCCGTGTATAAGGAAATATTTGTGAGTCTGTGGAAAGAGTTGCAGAGATGCCTGTTTTACATGTCAACCAGTTCTAACTGAGGACAACTTCTGGTGTGTATGGAATAGTGGTTGATACCAAGAGTATATGCAGACTCCCAGGTCCAGGAAGTAAGGCTGAGGTCTCTCACACCTGCACTACATCCTCCCGAGGCAAGGGAGACAACTGACTATAAAAGTCCAGTTTCCACACTTGCCGAACTAGGCTGGTATTATGGAGATACAATTTGTCTAGACTAACGAGTCTATGCATAGTCCAATCAAAATTGCACACTGAAATTGAAATCAGGTTCGTGAACTGTCATGCAGATTTCGGTCGATAGCAGAATTTCCAAAGCATGTGCACCACCAACTGGTCAACATATTTTCCAGATCTTTTCATGTTTTTAATCAAGGTGCTTGCGTGATTTGATGCACTTCGCGATGTAAGACCTGTTTTATCGCAATATAGATCCCCATTATTGATCAGATCGTCTTGACTGGGTGCCGCCATTTTGTTTGAAACAAATGCAAGTGACATGAGAGGTGGAGTCTGATTCGCCCATAGGAGAGGCTTAGAATTGACATAACTTGTAATAACCAATGGTGGTGCTACGATCGAGCCCAGGAATTCCAGCCTAGTTCGGCAAAGGTGGAAACTGGACTATTAAAGTCAGTTGACTCCCTTGCCTCGGGAAGATGGCACTTCAACGTCAAGTTGAACTTTTCTGAACATAGCATGCTTTGTTCAGTGTTGATACATATCATTTCACAACTTACCTGAACCTGGCTTTCAAACTGGTACTGTCAGGTAAAGTCCATTTTACAATAGTGTCAAATATTTGTGTTGTCTTGAAATAACATGAGAGTGTGTATTTGACATGAAACAGCAATTTGGGGTAACAATGACAAGACTTTAATAATATCATGTTTTCAAAAGGATACATTCACACGTGAATAGTCTGGTGTTTTATGAGCCGGACATTTCTCAAAGCCAAACCAGACAGGAACGGGTCTTAGCATTGTTCACATCAGGATTTAATGTACCAGAACAGTAGATTGAACAATGCATAGTTTGGATGTTCTGAACATGGTGAAGTGTGTCCAGACATTGGACTTGTTGAGTTTTGATTTGACCTGTCACAGTTCAGTTGGTCCAGAGGACAGGGCATGCCAGGTCAACAGGTCTTTTTTTTTTGTTCCAAATATTTATCAAGGATTTGTCACTAAATGTCTGTCACAGGCCCATGGGAAAAAGGACATTCTCTACAAAACTAAGTATTAAATCCCTTTTGTCTTTATAAGTGAGGGGGGGGGGTGTGGTTGGGTAGCCTAGTGGTTGAGACCCGGGAAGATCCGGGGTAGAATAGGTCTTCAGCAACCCAGGCTTGTCGTAAAAGGCGACTAACGGGATCGGGTGGTCAGGCTCGCTGACTTGGTTGATGCTTGTCATCGATCCCAATTGCGTGGATCGATTCTCATGATATTAATCACTGGAATGTCTGTTCCAGACTCGATTATTTACAGACCACCGTCATATAGCTGGAATATTGCTGATTACGGCGTTAAACAACCAACCAACCAACCAACCAACGAACTTAGTGGTTAAAGCGTTCGCTTGTCACGCTGAAAACCCGGGTTCGATTCCCGACATGGGTACAATGTGTGAAGCCCATTTCTGGTGTCCCCCGCCGTGATATTGCTGGAATATTGCTAAAAGCGGCGTAAAACCATACTCACTCACTCACTCATAACTACACAAAGAATGTAAATGGACCTGCGATAAACAGACAACATAATGAAAAACATAACATTACTACTTAAAAAGAACAAAAACTAAATTCGTAATCAGTGAGCCAGGCTAAAAGCGGCGTAAAACCATACTCACTCACTCACTTACCAGTAATTGTCTTTGGTTGGTCAAAATATGAACCATTTGTCTCTCTCAGTTTTGTTTGGTTCTCTGTGATGCTTGGGTCGGTGAGTCTCTTTATTTGGAAAACATATATACTAATACTGCAGAAGTACAGAATGTTTAATATTTATACTAAAACATGTATGAGAAAATTTGTTCTCTTTATGAAAAGGTTGTAGAGGCCAGAGATAATATACAATGCCTTTTATCAATTTTCATCTATAAGTCAATAGTTTTGATTTCTAGGTGTATGATTTTCATTAATTTTTGTAATTTTATGTTTCTTGTTTTTCTAATCCATCAGAGATGGAGTAGAATGGCAAATACATTATTATTTTTAAAAATTGTATTTTATATTTTTATTTGTTTTTATCTAATTGTATTACGTTTACAAATTCCCCTCACAGAAACCCCAAGATTTATTCTTTGTATCTATGTTAATAAGAGAAGGCGGTTTTGGTTGAGGCATCACACACAACAACAGCTCTATTCATCATATTTTTACATTAAATATGAACAGCATTGCCGCAATGAGTTGAAATACAGGAAAGACTGGGCCCATTCAAAAAGCTTCCTTGTATGTTATGTTGTTGTTGTTTCATGACTTCTGTTGTGCTAACATTTATGCAGAGGATCTATTTTAAAAAAAATCTTTGGCAATGTCAACATTTCCAGATACACAAACAGGGTTTGGTGGGGTTGTTGTAAAAGTTAAAGAGCTACCTGACATCAAGCATTGGACCTGCTCCCACTGCAGATTGTCTGTTTGCATGTTGGAGGCCTCTCAGGACAGGAGTACAGGGTTCACTATGCACATTATGGTATGTACAAATAGTAAAGATTCTTTTCATCCAAAAGCTGTGAGAATTCAGAATAAAGGCTGTAAGGTCATTGTACTGGACTCTAATAATATTATTATGTTCAGTGTAATTTTTACCCAGGTTTAGCAATTATCAAGGATTTTATGGCCAATTACTGAAATTTTATGAAAAATGAGCTTCATGTTTTTAGCCTGGCTCACTGATTACGAATTTAGTTTTTGTTCTTTTTAAGTAGTAATGTTATGTTTTTCATTATGTTGTCTGTTTATCGCAGGTCCATTTACATTCTTTGTGTAGTTATGAGTGAGTGAGTGAGTATGGTTTTACGCCGCTTTTAGCAATATTCCAGCAATATCACGGCGGGGGGGACACCAGAAATAGGCTTCACACATTGTACCCATGTCGGGAATCGAACCCGGGTCTTCGGCATGACGAGCGGACGCTTTAACCACTGGGCTACCCGACCGCCCCTGCATAGTTATGAGTTGATCTGGGAGATGCAACGTAATATTTACATAGATATAATTTATTAAATCCATTTGAACCATACACAACATATGGTTTGTGACGGAGTTATTTGCCCAATTTGGCAATATTACAGTCACGTCACTGCCTGTGACACCTAGAATTGACTTTGCTCCTATTTCCCATGTGGTTTCCGTACCTGGCTTTATGACCACTGAATGGTTAAAAAAATTGACGAGGCTGGACCACTGCCGGTATGTTTTTTGGCTTGTATTCCAACAAATCTGTGCCGGGAGGGTGGCTGTTTGTCCAAGTATTTGTCTTTCTTTTTGAATACACATTTTTTTCTTATTAGAGGAAGGTTTAAAAGTTATATGAAACACCTTAATTCCCCACAATGTGTGAAGCCCATTTCTGGAGTCCCCCGCTGTGATATTGCTGGAATATTGCTAAAAGCATGAAAACCACTCTCACTCACTTTAGTTTAGGTTATATGCACCCTACACACCACCTAAAAGTTACGTGTGAAAATGTTGACTTTCTCAGAGAGATTTTCAGGAGAATATTATCATTCCATAATAAGTCATTAAAACAAAGCACAACAGAGGTTGCTGCAATCCTTCTTTGATTTCATCTTATTTTACCTACAAGAGTCATGGGTGTTCATTTTCACAGTAATAATGTGATAATTAGAGCTGGTATGTTTTGAATTGATGATTAGCAAATGCAATCCTGTTGACAGTCCTGACCCCTGCCTTCTCCCTCACCCTCCAAAGGGGTGGTTGGGTAGCCTAGTGGTTAAAGCGTTCGCTCGTCATGCCGAAGACCCGGGTTCGATTCCCGACATGGGTACAATGTGTGAAGCCTATTTCTGGTGTCCCCCGCTGTCTTATTGCTGGAATATTGCTAAAAGCGGCGTAAAACCATACTCACTCACTCTCTCCCCCTCCAAAACTTAAGGAATTAAGATTTTTATACACCCATAAAATTCAAACTTTTTATCTGTTCTCCAACTGAGTGTTAAAAAGCTTTCGACCCAACTCCCTGATCAATATACAATTACATTTTGAGCAAGGTGGGTTAATTGCTCTGTGTTTATGAGACTGGCCATATGATGTGACATTAACTTCTAGTGCAAGGGGGGCACGGGTGGCCCAGTCGTCTAAGGTGCCGCGATTCCCTGTGCAGAGTTGCATCCCCTGGGCACGCCAGAAACCTATGATTGTGGGTTCGAATCCCGGTTCGCCCCGATTATGTTGCTAGGTTGGTCAGCACCAAATTGTGCTCGTGGGTTTCACAAAAAGTAGTAAACGTCTGAGACCTGCATCACTTCGGGCTTTCCTCCCACATTAAGCTGACACGCCATGATATAACTGGAATACCGTTAAAAGCGGCGTTAAACCCAACTCACTCCCTCACTCACTCTAGTGCAAGAGCCAGGTTTATTCCACAAGGAGGACATCAGTGGCCCAGCGGTTGAAGAGATACCTGTGCAGAGTTTGAAACTCAATATCACTGACAACTGAAGTATTGACATAATTTATAACCCAATTTTATAATTCATATATAAGTATTGAAATTGAAGTATCTAATCATTATCTGGCATGAAGGTGATACAATATTATACAGTATTAACATAGAACCAGTGGAACATTCTTTTAGATGAGTCGCTTCTCTGAGATTTGTGTATTATCATGTAGAAGCATATTTATATCTGATCTCGAGAGAGTGAAAGGGGAAAGTATGAGACAGTGGAGGTTTAGATGACACGGTGTAGCTGGGCAGTTGTCTTGTCAAATTTTACATGACCTCTGAGTTCGTTATATAAGTGTTCTCATTCATCACTTGCTCACTTAGTCTGAAAAAAATTGTACTGATATTTTAGTTAAGCATCTGTCAAATGATTCTCTTTTTCAGATTTCTTTTGCTTTTAATGTGTTTCCAAAACATTTTTTTTATTTTATGTGAAAAGAAAAAATGTCCATTGTTTATTATAATGTAAATATGTCATTATAATTGCATCATGTCATCCTGATCGTAAATAAAATGTTTCATGATTATGTGATTTTGTTGCTTTCATGCTTATAGAAAACTGACAGCCAAGAGAAACTTTACCATAGATTTGAGTCTCTATAGTTTCAAAACCACAAAAGATAGATGTATGAAGTAAAATATACTGAAAAGATCAAATCTCAATGAATACAGACCCTGAAACCAATATATTCAATACAGCCCATGCAAGTCTGTAATATTTGGCAAGTCTAGAATACCTACTGTAGTATCTGAAAATGAAAAAAGACTCTGTACCTTTTTCTGTAAAATATGTTCATTTCAGAGACGAGATGTTTGTCTAATGACAGTCATACAGCATGCAATATTAGCATGACAGTTGCCTGAATTGAGGTGGGGTAGCAAAAACAGGCTTTCAACATAATGGACAAAGGGCACACACATCTAAAATCATTGCTCAAGTTCAATGACACGTCAAATTAATAGCGTCAATGACCACCCCCTGCTACAAGACATGCAAGAACTCTCCGGCTCACAGAAAAAGTAAGTCATCTGATGAAGTCACGTGGGATACGTTGCCATTCTTGTTGGAGGGCCTGAATCAGTCTTTGATGGTTGACTGGAGGATGTGGTTGCTGTCGAACACAACGATCAATGACAATCCCAGAGGTGTACTATGGGGGACATGTCTTGGTAGTGTGCAGACCACAGCTACACATTGACATTGTTGTCTGAAAGGAATTTCTGGATGATTCGAGCTGTATGGGGTCTGGCGTTGTCATGCTGATAAAAGACACCACATGGCAGCTGTTGTAGAAATTGTAGTACAATGGGACAAAGAATGTCATCCATGTAACCCTGAGGTGCCAAATTTCCGTTTACAATGACCAGTAGTGTTCTCTCCTGCCAAATTATTCCTCGCGACACCATAACACCCCCTCCACCATATGGCATGACCTACTGAACGCAACCTTCAGTGGTAAACATGCAGTCTTCCATTAGCTTAGTGAAGACGACCCTCCAGATGCCAAAGACGTACACCACTAACCATTTTCCCTAAGACATTCATCGCATGATGCCACTGTCAGGAATCGATTTCGGAGATGCAAAGTATGCAA